GTGTGAGAGAGAGAGAGAGAGTGTGTGTGTGTGAGAGAGAGAGTGTCTGTGTGTGAGAGAGAGAGAGAGAGAGTGTCTGTGTGTCACCTGTGCTCCGTAGATGTATTTGTCGAGCATTTTTCCTCCAATAGTCTGTCCTCCGATGTCCCACACCTGCAGCGTCACATTCAGGTTTCCTTCAACACGAGTAAAAACACGTTTAAAGATCATTTCAGCCGTAGAGAGAACTACTGGACGACTTCAGCACAGCAGAAAACATTATTAGTGCTGAATGTTCAGGTCTAGTTTATCCTACTGTACTGGACATTAATGTTCTCATTAATATTGCTGACGATTTTTTTTTTGGCCTTAATGTTACATTTAAACGTGTAAAACAACCAAAGTATCAGTAACACTTTACAATAAGGCTTTATTTGTTAACTACATCAGTTAACATGAAATAATGAACAATACTTCTACAGTATTTATTAGCTTAGTTAATTTGAAAATTCACTAATATATTTGTAAAATCAAAAGTTGTATTGGTTAACAGTATGTAATAATCGTATTAAAATTCTGTATGTACTGCATTTATTCGTTGCACACTGCAATCACACTGATTCCAGATTTGATCACCACTATATTTATTAACTAATTTTTCATGTTCAAATAGCATCTTCACGCTAAAATATACAGATGTCTGATTTGCCAGACTATCTTCAATCAGACGATTATTATCTCTCTAACTATATTTATTTTATTTGTGTTATAGTGCACATCTGCAGTTCGGTTTTCATTACAAAGAACTGAAAACTAAATTGCTATAATGTGCAGTACAACAGAAATAAAAACATAATGCAATTAAATAAAGAATTTAATAAATAAATTATATAATTTATATAATCAATAATATGATAAATTAAATAAACAAATATAATTATGATAAATTGCAAACTTATGTAAGTTTACAAATAAATTAAAACTAAAGTGAAAATAAAAATAATCAATAATATAATTAATTAAATTAATACAATTATGATAAATAATGACACTATTTCTGTACTGGTGGTTTAGTAGTTAATGTTAATGGAGCTCAGAGCGTTACAGTCAATACATTCAGACTATACAGTCACGTATATATATATATATAAACCACACTCGTGTTCATCCCACACTTCTATAAAGATCTCTTCTTTATTTATTCTAGAATTCCGTCTTTACGGTAAGCGACTGGCTCGTTCTGAATGTGCTGACACTGTGAGTTTCTCTCTCTCTCTCTCTCTCTCTCTCAGTTATGGTGCATGAGAACAGACCCCAAAATAACCCACGACTCTCCAGCGTTCAGCAGCACACTCACAATAAATAGAGTCCTCTGTGTAGAGCGCCAAACACACCTTTCACTCGTCTCATTACTGCAGACGCTCGCCATTACACGTAATTCAATTTTCATTCAAGATTTTAATGCAACTTACTGAAAGATCAACTGCAAAACATCATGAGGCCGGACTCGAGAAAAACTTAAGAAAACACTTCTAAGTGCAGTTCTTGAAAATAATTATTTAAATCGATGTAAACATTTAAATTTAAAAGCAACTTTCGAATCTACACTGAAATAATAATAATAATAAATAATCAACATATCAAACACAAACCAGTTTGATTTGGTCACTTTTTCTCTTTATGTTTCTTTTTATAGAAGTAAATTAAGTAAATAAGTTTTACTTGCTAAAATATAATAATTACCCAAAATTATTCCCCCGAATTACATTTCGTGATCATAAAACACGATCAAAAGCAGTATCAAAATATCAAATACAAATTGGTTTGATCACTTTAGTGTGCGTGTGTGTGTGCGCGAGTGTGTGTGTGTGCGTGTGTGTGTGCGCGAGTGTGTGTGTGTGCGTGAGTGTGTGTGCGTGAGTATATATATATATTTTTTTTTTTTTTTT